TATATATATATATATATATATATATATATATATATATATATGTGCGTGTGTATGTGTATATATATGAGTGAAAATTGAGCGATTCTATATATACAGAATACTGATGATTCTATATATATATATATATAGAATACTAATATATGTAAATATAATTGAGCATAGAACACATACACATACATATTCTATTTTGCTTATGTACATGTAATTTGTCTCATAGTGCATATTTGCACATGTCGAAATGATTTTACACATAGTATGAGGTACAAATAAAACTATGTATTAATGAAGCACATTGAATTTGGTCGATTCTTAAGTAAAATGTTATGATTATTAATCGAAGGTACATTTCAGAAAGACACACATCGTACGCTCCTAATATTTTTCTAAAAATAAAGTATACATCTATACACACACATATATAAGTTTAACTTGAAAAATATCTGTAATATATTAGCAATTTCTGAAAAGAACATCGCAGAGCTTAAATATAATAAGATGATAAAATATAATATAAGATATCGCTTTCTTCATAATGCTATAAGGTTATTTTTATCACACTCATTTAGTTCGCATAATATTTACAACAATGATCAAGGTATATCGGTTGATTTAAAACGAAGAAAACTAAAAATTCGAGTAATTGAGGGAGAAAAACATTAATTTCTTTATACTTTTAGTTATCTTTATACGCGCGCAAAATGTTCGTTTACTTTATTATATATATCTACGAATAATATAAAACAAATACTTCTATATTACAAAACAAGAAAAAGAAAGAAAAACAATTTCAAAACAAAACACGTAATTATATTCTAGTAACACTTACGATATATTCTTAATTATTTCTATGTGGAAATTTGGGAGAACATGTAATCATTAAAGCAAATTGAAAGTTCAACTGATCGGAATATACTTTTATAGACATCACATGCATTTATTGCAACATTAAAATAAACTATAAAGCGGAACATAAATAAAGTGACAATGAACAGATATGAAATGCAATATATCAAATTTATGTGATGTCTAGGTACAGTATGAGTTTTAATAAATATTTATATAGACTTTTTATACAACTTTTTTATGTAGCGCATTATATAAGTACATAGATCATTATAGTAAACAGATAACGTTTTTATACTATAGTATCAATACATTAGAATTTCAAAAAATTTGACGACTATTGATATCAACTTTAGTCGCGCCGTGCTGCTGTATAAGTATCTCTATTTTAAGCTTTAATCATCACGTTAACATTTGCAAGAAACGTCTTAAGCAATTTTCATATTTTATCATGTGTATTTATTATGTTTAAATTTGTTTTTTGTTGCCATATTTTCGTAAATGTTAATGTAAATGTAGTAAAGAAATATAAATGTTAATGTAAATGTAGTAAAATATATAAATGTAATAAAAAAAAAAACATTAAATTTGTTGTTATTAACTTTGACGTACGTGGAAATTTTATATATGTTACGATATTTTAAAAATAAATAAATTCTTTTTACTGAAGAAAATTTATGTAACTAGCATGAATGCAGCAGCAGTTTCACAAAACATATAATATAGTTATACAAGATATGGCACTTAAAACAAGTCATTTAAATAAAATTTGTGTTTTGGAGAGAAATTCCAGCACTATATACTTTGAACTCAACAATAATCTTTTTTCTCTTTTCTCTAAAACATTCTTTATATTTCTTTGAACATAAATTATTTATGATTAGGCTTGTTTTAAATGTTTTATTAGATATATACTAATTTTTATTATCAAATTAAAATAAAACTGCAACAAACACACACACACACACACACACACACACATATATATATATATATGTATGCATATATACTGACACAAACAATGAAGCATATAAAAAAATGTGCAATGTCAAAACAATCTTATTTCTAAAATTATCTTATATTTATCTACATATTTATATTTTCTTATTTAAAAAAGACTACATATCACAAATTATTGTTATAATATCTTTAATAAGGCAAATCAATAGTTATTAAAAAAATATCTCACACAAATTACTTTTATACTTACAATATCTAAATTTAATTAACCAAATATTTTTATAATGTGGTGGTTAAATATTTTTTTAACAGTATTTATTAAATTCATCTTTTTATATTAAAATAGGCAGTTAAAAAATTATTCAAATAATAAAATAATGTTTAAAGCATACATCAACTACTATATTGGTAACTTGAAAAAACATACAATAAAATATAACCTCGCAACTCTATGACTTTTAATTATAATTACACATCTTAGTCCTTTTTATGTTAAACCACTGGTAATTATGGCTGAAATAAATCAAGATAGCGGAATAAAGGAATACCTTATATGTACAGTGTAATTCTTTGAAGCTTGTCGATATGGCTTCCAAATATCAAGATTATTCATTGCGGATATGCATTGCTACTTCAAAGTTGCCTCGTAAAGAAGTTTTGAAACTGCATGTGGAGATTGATATAAAAGGATGTCAGGATTCATAAATCAATCGTTGATAATGAGGAAATATCTCCCAAGTTGGTAAGTGCAGACCAAATTCTAGAGCTACCAGTACAGCAAATTCAGATGTAAATAAATCCTTACGATTTAAACGGAATACGCCCTCAATTCTCTGTAAATTTGTGTAAAGATTATTGCTGGGTAAAAAATAATTTGGTTGTTACGTAATACGAAACAAATACCTCAATAAGTGATTTAAGAATATCACGCCTAGCGTCATTAAATTTTGCTGCGAGAAGTAAACAAGCACCAGCGCATAATTTCCGTGTTTGCTTCGTTACAATGTTTCGGAGAATGAGCTTTTCAAAGTATACATAGGCCATTGCAACAGTGAGTAAATCTATGCCATATTCTAATCTAGCGATTTTTCTCATTTCTCGTTTTAAGCTGAAATTTTATTTAGTAAAAACCGTGCTTAAAAAAACGTTTATAAAATATTGTATATTGCTTGTGAAACAACTTGCATAAATTATACAAACCTTCGAAGTTTGCTAAGAGTGAGTTGAATATGTGGAAATTTTTCTTTGAATTTGTCATTCAATTCTTTCTTCAGATCAGAAGGTCTTACATAATCAATAACAGACGCCTGAGTAAAATATTAAGTTATATTATTTCTTGAGATGAAAGAAATATTAAAGTTAAAACAGTTATAATACACTTAAATACATACCATGTATGACGTAAACGTCAATAATGTTCTATGTTTCCCAGCGATAAGTTCTGGATCGTCCAATAAATTTGGATTGTATTGGGCAGATTGTTCATCCCATTCATAAACTGTATAATATACGATAAAATAATTATGTAATATTCGTGTTGCATGTGTTAATTTGATAGGAAATTAAGAAAAATATTATATTAAATTCACCTTTGGAATCAGCACTGAAAGACAATGGTGGAGACTCAGAAGTTATATAGTGCGTACGATTTGTAGCTGTATCGTACGAAAGACACCTGAAATAAAAAAGAAAAAAGTTATTTTGTGGAATGTATTTTGTGAAATTATTTTACTCTTAGGCATGCAACGTGCGACGTGCTTTAGAATTGCTGCATTCTTTCCATCAAAAAATACATACGCGCGCGCGTACGCACACACATACCTCCCCCTACACGTACTAAAATTAAACTCTTTTAGGATTCTATATGTATATTTAAATATATATCATAAAAAAATATATCATATAGATAAAAAGTGTTATATTTCTAAAAATACTTGTAAAGAAGCAAGCATTTTTCAGATTCAACTATGAAATGATATGAAAAATATATAATTTCTATATTACAGATATATACAAACTATGTTGAAAATAATCAGAATGCACGTGTGAGAATGATAAAAATATTTCAATTCCTAATATTGATTTTATTTTTATTATATATTTATAGCAAATAAAATTCAATCACTACTGTGTTATCACTACTATATGAATATTACAACATGATAACAAATGATATAATGCCTGATCCTGACAACACATCTTTTGCAGAAATATATAGAAAATTTAACAAATAGTAGCTTTATAGATTCTTGTGTAATGTATCTTATGTACAAAAACTACCTAACACCTCTCCTATATTTTGTTACATATATTATATAGTAGTTTTTACCATTTTTTGTGATCCACATTCCAAGTAATTGTTTTTGTCCTGCAAAAAGATGGTTGATGTTTTGTTGTAAAACAAATATATGACATGAATTCATGTACACATTACCTATGAGTGAGAAAGAGAGAGAGAGAGAGAGGGAAAGAGAGAAAGAAAGGAAATGTTTTGATAATACTACATGAATTGTACGAATAAAATTCTTAAAATAATAAATACAAGTTTAAATTAAAAGTATATTAAATATATAAGTGCTAACTTTATATAATGCGGTAAGACATCTTTTATAATGAAGAAGATTTAAAGCACTAATCTGTGATATCTCTGATGATTTGCATTAGCTTATAAAGCCCAATTAAAAATTTGAGGTGTATAATACACAAATGAAAGCAAGGAACATATGTACACGTGAACAAAAAACTCAGTTTTACTATAAGAATATTCGTTTGTAAGTACCTTTGCACTACATGATGTTTATTAGGTATGAAGTGCATAAGTTCCATAGTTTCACTCTCATTTGGGTTCAATTTTTTATCCCTTTGGAACTGTCTAGATGGTACAAGTAGTTGCCCATAAGATATTTCCTACAATATTAAGAATTAAATATAATCACTATAGTTAGAATTTTCTAACATTTTAACAAGTTTTGAAAAGTTGGATGAATAAAATATTTTTTTTTCTAATACCTGACCATCTTTCGCGTATTCTATACCCAATAATCCAAATGGATCAACATTGTCATTAATCGAGGATAATGGTCTTTGAGACGAAACGTTTTTTCTTCGACTTGTATCTTTACGTAATTCCGACCTGCGAAAAATATTATAATATCAATGTGAATCGCATTAGATTGCCATTTATCACATTATTCCAGATAAAGTCGGATAGATTGGCGAATATTCGGATGCTACATATCAATATAACATACGTAATCTGTGTGTGTGCTATTGTAGTTATTTAAAATAAGAACAACTGCGTGTTATATCGTAAATAAGAAATAAAATTCTAAAAATTTTTATACTCTGCGAGTTACAGATACTATTATTAAAAAAAAACTAAAAAGATATATATACAATAATAATTATTTAAAAATCAAAATATCAATGTTTTGAAATATCCACAATTAAACAAAGTATAATAAGACAATGATTTCACCAATATCATTATCTATATCAGACAGATTAGATTAGCCAGTGAATTCTACTGGAATTCAATACTGCCTATTGTTGGATACAATAGGCAAAGTGGTTGATAAACTTCCTAAGAAATTATTTTCATATCAAGGTTTTAATATCAAGCAATTATCTATAAGAACGTGTTTGAAAACAAACTTAAAATAACACCTTAAAAATGCTCTATAGTGAAAGATAATTTTCATCATATTTCTTTATCTACATCGAACGTAAAATTTGTGTCCGAATTCTTTTTCTCTTCTGTATGTACGGACATGTTGACTCTTACCAACTGGTACGTTGTCCTTTATTGTATGATATAGCAGAAAATACTACAAATGGCACATGTTGGTTTGATACCAAAACCATTCTATCATCCCCGAATTTATAGCCATTTACGGGTCGCTGTATCAAACGCAATTCCTTTGTAACTTCTGGTATTATACTACTATTGGTAGAAATAGTTTGCACATTGTTCACTGCCTTTGTCTTTGGTTTTAACGATTGTGCCTTTGAATGTACGGAGCCGATGCTTTCGCTGCTGCTGTTATACTGATGCTTAATATCTTCCGATAGCGTAGAGGTTTGATGACTTATACGCTTTTTATATTGTAGAGAACCTACACGCCTTTCTGGTAAAGAATAGTCGCTTCCGGTAGTTCCCGTTCTGGAAGAGCATGAGTGTAACATTAAAAAATGTTAAAAGATATAAACATCTAAAATATATACTCAAAGAAAAGGAAAGCAAAGGAAGAAAGATTAATTTTTTTGTGATATAAGAGCTATTTGTTCAGACAACATACAGTACCTACATCAATTATTTGATATATATGTATCAAAAAATGACTTTCTATCAAATTATCTCAATTTTCGCGATGTATATACACATACAAATTTAACAAACCATCATTTACACATATCATCAGAATAGGGATAATTTAGTATAAAATTATTAATTGATACGCGTGTTAAACATTATCTTGCAAACAATAGATTCTCTAATTAGATTCTCTATTATTTATTCTGGCTTTCTTTATTGGAAAAACTGTAGCTCAGTGAAAAAATTTTGGAATGTATATCATACATGTAATGTATCTCTATACATATAAACGAATAACATGCAATCAAGTTTCTTGTTTTCTATTTACGATATTTGTAGACGTTTACGATAACGTTATCTGAATCCAAGTGTCATTCAATCCTATCTATATCAAGAAAGTCTTTGAAATGAAACACTGTAAAGTAGTATGGAGACTTTTCGGATACTCATGTTTCTTGTTGTCAAATATGTAGACTATAGAACTTTCACAAGCAGAGTATGATAGTTATATAACTATTTTTAAATTTAGTGTACATATATTTAACTTGGAATCATCTCAATACCATAACTTCTAAGATTAACTTAATGTAATTTCTTAAAGTTATGTATTATAATGTCAAAATTACGGTAGACAATATTAAAATTATATATATAAGAAAATATTTTACATTATATTTTTTTTTTCTTTAATAATTATAATGTATTGTAATGGGGTTTGTTTATTTCTGTTATATCTTTTAATTCAAAATAAGAATATAATGAATGATTTTCTAACAAATAATTCTCCTTTTAACTTGTATCTGATTATGAGATTGAGTGATACAAATGGAATATGAGATATAAATGCTTACCGTTCTCTAAATGAGCCATGCATGTTGAAAGAGAATTGCAGATGATTCCTTTCTTGCTCCAAGAACATGGCAACTGCTGCTTTAGCAGGAGTAAGTACACCATCCGAATCAGAACTAATGGAGTTATGATCAGTACTCTTTTGCATCAGTTGTGGAGAATTGGTCTGCTCTGTCACTTCATTCTGTGGGAAGTCATAAGTCTCCTCAGGACAATCGTCTAGAACCTCTTCCATGGAGACTTCAAAGTCAGTGCTCTGACACGTATCGAGCACTGTCTGTTGATCTGACTGACCATCGCTAAGTATACGTGCATGTGTGGGTCCATTTCGTGACAAGACGGCGAATTTAGTGTCACGGTGACTGCCGTCGAGGGAGATGTTAGATAAGAATGTTAGGGCGGCCAATCTTCTGCGTGAATGATTTTTCTTTAGGGCCGCTGCCATTCCACGGTATACCGTACTGAGATACCAGTGCAATCGAATACCAAGCCAAATAACAACGTGTGCCAGATGATAATGGCAACGTCGGCGACAGCGACGACGAGGACGTCGGCAGCGACGAGGACGACGACAGCGACGGCGACGGCGACGGCGACGGTGACGGTGACGACGAGGACGACGATGACGATGACGGCGACAGCAGCGGTGGCGACGACGGCAGCGGCGACGACGACGACGACGACGACGACGACGACGACGACGGCGACGGCGACGACGGCGACGACGACGACGACGACGACGACGACTTTATCGAACAAGAACAACTACTAAGATCACAATCCATTGTCACTAATGATGTATTTAGTTCTAGCATCGTCAGTTACAATCGTAGCCATGCACCACACGTATAGACGTGAGCCGGTGTCGTTGAACATCATGTTGTTTCTTCTACCGAACTGCTCCACAATCTCACGTTGCTTACTCAACGACCTTACCTAGGCTACTACGCAACAGCGCGAACAGTCTCCCGCAGCAGAGGTGAAAATATTCGATCGATGAATCGATAATCGAGTCTTGTTCACATTCACAGTTCGTTCGATAGCTCGATTATGTCCTCGATTCTTTCCAATTCTAGGGATCGATTCGGAAAATGGTGTTTAGGAACTAACCCGTAAGGCTCCGGGAACCAAACTGAGAGAGAGAGAGAGGGGTTGATTGTGTATCTCATATCGGAGTGAAAATGACAAAAGTGAGCAAATTTACTAGCATATTTGTAACTTCATTGGACAATGCCTAGTGAATTTGCTCACTTTTGTAATTTTTACTCCGCTTCAAGATATACAATCGACCCCCTGGGGGCGCTTACAACGACGCGATATTGGCTTGTGCACACAGGACGCGGTAATCTTGCTGCGTGGCGGAAGTTCGCGCGACAGCCAATAAATATGCTGCTTTCCGCAATAACCTTTTAAGTCTTACGGAAAAACAACATATTGATTTGGCTGTCGCGCGGACTTCTGCCGCGCGGCAAGCATTACCGCGTCCTGTGTGCAGGAGCCAATAGTCCCGGCCTGGCCGGTAAAGATATTGATGTTATTTAAAGAGCACTAGTTTTTACATAGTTTATGCTACTGGAATTAATGTTTTATAATAATGCGATTAATATCGTTGCGTTATGTAGAGCATGGAAGTGGGTGTGCTTTTTGTGGTCAGGTTCTCGCATATACACGTTCATATGATATTTCGTACGCATATACACGTAAATAAATTTATGACAGTGCGTAAAGAGAAAAGATCATGTGCATGTTGAATGGAATATAAGTTCGTACGTAATGGTCCATGTTCTTAACCATGCAATTATGCGCTTAGCACGGACACGAATCGCCAAGAAATGGGCGTAGAATAGACACGCACCGAATCGCTGCTTTACCGGCATCGTCTAAAAATGGACGTAGGGAACGTAGTTCCACCTGAAAAATGGATGCAGATGGCGCATCGCACCAGCGTGAACGGTGTCGCCCAAAACATATGGCGTGGCCGCTCTCAGGCTTCTCTCTGGCCTAACGAATGTAGTAAACATACACTTTGTTAGATGGCGTCTCGAAAATGCGCCTAGCTCTGCTCACGAAAATCAAGCTGGTGGCCGCTCTTAAGGCTGGTTTATGATGGCCGTAATCCGTTAATTTCTGCCGGCACTGTAAAAATTGACCAATCATTGTCGAATTATAGAAGAATAATCTACTGTGATTGGTCAATTTTTTACGGTTCCGGCATAAGTTAACGGATTACGGCCATCATAAACTAGTCTTTAGGTTTCTCTCTGGTATTCATTTGGCACATCTCATCTGTCTAGTTTGCTGAACGTAATAATTTAAAAAGAAAATTAGACGCGTATCACAAGAGATCAATTGACATATCTAACTTTATTTATTAACGGTCACAGGATATTTTTAATAGTGAGGTAAATAACACTTTTATTTTGTCTTATATTATTATCCTTATAGTATTCGGTATTTTACGATACATTATTGAACTGTATAACCTAATCTTTAGAGAACCTTCATCTTTTCATCTTTGCGATTTCTACATTGATTTATTGCAATGTCAGTTCGTTAAAAGCATTTATAATACATTATTTTATAAAAATACAATAATGCAAAGATACTGGTTGCGTCATGGTAACATTGTATCTTTGTTGCATCTGCTCTTCATTGCATCTTCTTACACTTTATCAACGTATTAAATAATAGTAGAATATGTCTAGATTTTGAAATAAAATAAAAGTAGAAGAAAAGGATATGTAGTTTGAGGGAAAGAACTTTTGCTGTTATACAGGATCAAATACTGTAGAGAAAGAGATTATTATTTGCAATATGTTAGTAAAAAAGTATGTTTTAATTTGTTATTTATTGTTATATAAATTTGTTATATATAGAACATTATTGCTTGTCATTTGCTAAAACATAATCCAAATGTATATAATAATCAACTTGAGACTAATGCAAAAGCCAAGTTATGAATAAAATTCATTTATTTACAAGATATTTTAATAATTTTAATGTAATTTTTGGTCTATTCATAAAACATAAGTATTCTAGTAAAATATTAGAAATTGCAAAGATGTTGTAAAAGTTACAAGCATGACACATACATGAATGTATAAGTACAAGGCTTAATATGTGAAAGATAGTATTATTATTTCTTATCCTTTATTAAATGATAAACATTATACAGTAGAAAAGCCATATCTATCATTCATTTGTATTGTTGTGCAGTGTTTGATCCTGTCAGTATATGAAAGTGGGCAGATCCCTCAATACTGTGGTGCGTTCTAGCTGCTACTTGAAAAACTACTACAACTTTTATAGAACTATGACTTCCTTGCTGGTTCCTCCGACGTCAGTTCGTGGAATGACTTGCTTGGATCGTGATGCATTTACTACAGTCGTGAACATACCAATATTAAAATTAATAAGTAACATCGCTATTTCAAACATTAAGCCTATTTTAAAGAAGTACATCTTGAAGTTACCTGAATTTAAGTCAATTAACAAAACAAGTAATGAAGTTATTGTTTATCTAAATCCGAATGTTGTTACAAAATTCGAGGATATCACTGAGAATGATAGGAACTCATTGGCGGGTCAGTATGAACATTTTGACATTAAGAGTGTTACACTTAAATATGAGAATTGGCGTAGCCACGAGATATTAAAAGCAATTCTACCGGAAGACATTCAACCTCCTACAGCGTACAGCTTAGTAGGACACATTATGCAATTGAATCTGCGTGATATACATTTGCCCTACAAAACAATTATCGGCCAAGTGTTTCTCGACAAGACTTCGAGTGTACGAACAGTAGTAAACAAAGTAAATGCCATCGATACAACATTTCGATACTTTACCATGGAGATCCTGGCTGGTGAAAAGAACACGATAACAACAACGAAAGAGCATGGTTGTACATATCAGTTTGATTTCGCGCGAGTTTACTGGAATTCGCGTCTATCTAATGAACACACAAGCTTAGCGGCATGCATGAAAAAAGACGACGTTCTGTATGACGTATTTGCAGGAGTGGGGCCCTTTGCTGTGCCTGCTGCGCGCAAAGGTGTTAGAGTACTTGCTAATGACTTAAATCCTGAATCGTACAAGTGGCTCCAGATAAATGCCACTGCTAATAAAATAAAGAATAACTTCAAAGCTTTTAACATGGATGGTAGAGATTTTTTAAGAGACGTTGTTAAGAATGATGTTCTGTCCAGACGAGCTCGAGGCTCACATGGTTCCGAGCACATAATCATGAACTTACCCGCGTTGGCTGTTGAATTTCTGGACATATTACCCGATTGGTTTACACAAGAAGAGCTTAAAAAGGTCTGTCTTAAGCCACTTACATTCCACATCTATTGTTTCGTGAAAACAGATAAATTAGATGATGTTTGCAAGCTCGGGAAGTTATTGATTGAGGAAAAGATCGATTGTACACTGTGTCATGATTCTCTCCTCAGTCTACAAAACGTTAGAGGTGTTTCGACGAACAAAGAGATGGTTCGAGTATCATTTTTGCTAAAAGAAAGCATGATAAAAGGCAAGGAGCCAGCAATGAAGAAAGCTAAAATAGAGGAAGTACCGTGCGATAATTTATTCATAACTAATGATATTGCAGAAAACAATGGGAAAGAACAAGGGCAGTAATAAAAATAAAAATGTTTTTAAAGTGGCCACAGTTCGCAGTATCAAGCTGAAAGCTAAAGCACAAAAGGTGGTCACTAAACTGAAAAAAGTAAGTAATAAATAACTGCAGATTATGCATTAAGAAATGAAATAATTTTTAATCACGTAAAGTTTCTAAAATTATCCGTTTAAACGAAAGATTCAAAACTCACATGCATGCAGACAGACCTGAACGTGTACAATAATAAAATGTTAAAAGTATTTAACGAGAAATTAAATTATTTTCGTGCTTTGATATTAGCTTGATGAAAAAGGAAGTAAGACAGCAAAGAAAGACAAAACAGCCAATATGGATCAACTACTTGAGGAATTGCGTAAGGACGTGCAAGGATCAAGTTCTAAGGCGAAATTTAATACCACTCCAAAGAAACATACCAAGGCAAACAAGAAACCTTCGGTATCTAAGAGTGCACCAGAGCAAACGAACGAAACAACTGCAATGGTAGAGCAAATGCAACTCTGATGAGAAAGAATATATAATAATAGATCAATTTAATGTATATTAAAAATCAGATATATATATATATATTTTCATTATATGTATCTATTAAACTATTATATACAAAAGAATAAAATTATTATTTGCTAGTAATATTGTATTTCTTGTCTCATTTTGTCATTCTCGTAAAAATATTATTAGAGTGATATTAGAGTTTGCATGTATGAATGTATATGTAAATTTTACTAGAAACTTTGTAATAGACAATTTGCAAACTAAGCCTTTGATAAACTTTATTAGATATTAAAATATATATTGTTTATTACATGTATATGTATATATACATGTAATAATATATATATAAAATACATGTATGTGTGTGTGTATATAACCTTTTTATTTTATAAGCTAATTTCTAGTATATAGTTGAAACTAATACTTAGTTATACTATTAGGATTTCTTACAAAATAAGAAATAAGTAAAACAAAGGCATCATCAATATGTGTCACATATAATTGGAAAAAACTGTATGTCACGATAAAACATATCCTATCTGTGTTGCATAAAAACAGAATAGATATTCTTGTCTGTTTTATGTATTTAGAACTAAAATTGAACTTACTGAAATGGATCAACACTCAGCAAGCTTGATAGTTGTGGAAAATGAAATATTGAATGGACAAATTGTTGATACTAATACATCACATCTAGCAAAAAGTTTAAGGACTGCTGGATTGAGTTTGCAAAGAATCATGGTTGTTCCTGATGTAGTGTGTATCATTTTATCTTCTCAGAACGTTAGATAGTATTTGTAATTTAAATTAGTAATTATGATCTGTTTATTATTCTGTCAATTATTTCTTGGCTAGGTAGCTGATCTTGCTAAGAAAATAAAAAGTGCCTCGCAGGAGTACTCTGTTGTATTTACATTTGGTGGTATTGGTCCTACTCATGAGATTGTAATTTACGAAGCTGTGGCAAAGGCTTTTAGATTAAAACTCGAATCACATCAGGAGTTGATTGAAATGTACACTCGAATGAATTCTGATCAACAAGAGATCAAACGGCTCGCTATTGCTCCTAATCCTTGCAAAATAATTAATGTCAATTTTACAGGTACATATTTTAAGAACATATTAAAAGAATTCTCTATACAAAATATACCTGTTTATACGTGTGGATTTCAATTAGAAGGATCTGTAATGTACAGAATATTATACAATTTGAGATGACTTTAATTATATAAGAATAATATATGATATTATACATTATAATTATATACATTATAATTTCCAGAGATTTTTCCAGTAATAAGTGTAAAAAATGTTTATATATTGTCTGGTTCTCCGAAATATTTTGAGGCTGCGGTGAACACGATAATTCCTCAACTAAAAGGATGTACGCCGTTACACTTTGAGCATATAGATATCAAATTAAACGAACTACCTCTAATGAATATATTGGATAAACAAGCAAAACGTTGGGATGGCAAAGTGAGAATTGACAGTTACCTTCAATCAGAACCACAGACTTTTACGAGAATCACTTTAGAGGGATCGAAAGAAGCGGTGGCTGAAGCAAAGGAGGAACTTTTGTATTATCTACCAGTACAAAAACTTATGAACCTGGAACTTAGATTCAGTCGTTTTCAAATGAATGCTCTTCTAAAAGATAATGAAGCATATGTTAAGTGTGCATTAGACATAGTAAAGGAATGCTACGATAGGTGTGTATAATAAAAAGTTGCAATTTTGAATTTAATGTACATATATTATACTCGCGATATATAATACATTTTACATATATGTATTTTTTCTAGATATAAATCTGATGAGATTTTCATAAGTTTTAACGGTGGTAAAGACTGCACGGCAGTTTTGCATTTAGTCGCCACTGTCGCCAAATCGCGCAATATTTCAACGTTGCTGTGCTTATACGTGACAGCGGATTCCTTTCCGGAAGTAAGTCAGACTATGATTAATGATTAAGCGATATTAAAATCACATTACTTTGGGTCTTTATTATACAGGTGGAGGCATTCATAGAATTAGCGTCTCGATTTTACGGTTTGACGATAATACGGAAGCCACGACCCGTACGATCCGCAGTATCGGCTTTACTGCAAGAAAAGTGTAATTTGAAAGCGAGTTTTATGGGTATGAGGAAGGACGATCCCAGCGCGGCAAATCTGCAACCATTCGCGCTCACTGACACAGATTGGCCGCAGTTGATGCGCGTTAATCCCATTTTAAATTGGTCATACAGTCAAGTGTGGACGTTCTTGTTGAAACACAATGTCCCTTATTGCTCGCTCTACGATGAAGGATACACGAGTCTCGGTAATCGAAGCAGCACGATGAAGAATCCATTACTGAAGAATCCCAACGATCCCTCGTCTTATTTGCCAGCGTACACTTTGACCGACAAGTCTGCCGAGAGAAGAGGCAGATTATGATGAAGCATAAATATTAGATTAAGTATAAATTTTGCAAGTTTAGTAAATTCCAACTGCCTAACTGGCAACGTTTACCAGTATTGTTACATATTTTTATTAATGTTTAATTACTATTAGATGTTTTCCAGATATTGAATTTTATTTACACGATCTAAATTATTTGCGGGATAAATAACATTTTTGTTACTAGAATCAAAATAAAGTTCTCGATATTTTTTTAATGAAACAACGCGCGCTTCATCTGCGAGTGCTTATGTACAATGATTATATACGAGAATAAACGAATCCAATTGAAAAAAACTCATGACAAAAACAATCTGATCGCGTCATAATGCGAACGACAGTGCTAACACAGATAGCATCGATGGTTCATCGACGCAACATGGAAACGTATATATGGTCTGCTGACCATCAGAAAAGTTAGGGATGATCCTCGGCTGATCCTCCGTTACGAAGCCATTTAAGCCGGCGAATTGAGGTTTCGCGGATTTGAGTTACCGCAGAAAAGATATAAAAGTCCGGTGATGCAGAGGAGCGAAGTAAGGCGAGGGACTGGCGGACGATAACGATCGGCATGTCAAACGGAAGTGTTCGTTGGGAGGCGAGAATTCTACCAGCAGGTCCACCGCGATTGCTGGGATGGAACGTCCCTGCCGAGGAATTGGTCCACATACCGGAACATTGGTTGGTTTATCCCGAGCCCAATCCCTCCCTTCACTACCTGCTGGCCATTGTATACATCCTCTTCACCTTCGTCGCTCTGCTTGGCAACGGATTAGTCATATGGATATTCTGCTCGTAAGTGTTCTTTAATTCTGTAAATAAGTCGCGACATCAATTTGTCAGAGACAAAGAATGAAAAGCAATTGGAAGCGCGATAGTTTTTTACAGATGTGAATCTGCAATACTTGATACGGTATTTTTAGTTTAAGAGAACTTGGTGCATTATTGTTCCGACATTATTCATAGAATTATGTTTAAAATTTTTTCTTTTTGTATACATAGAGCCAAATCGCTGAGGACACCTTCGAATCTGTTCGTGGTGAACTTGGCGTTTTGCGATTTCTTCATGATGCTAAAGGCACCCATCTTTATATATAATTCTTTCAATACTGGATTCGCGACGGGTCATTTGGGATGTCAGATCTTCGCTTTCATTGGATCGCTCAGTGGAATTGGAGCAGGCATGACGAACGCTGCTATAGCTTATGACAGATACAGGTATCACAAGGTTGTCTTTGAGTAAACTTGTAAAATTTATGAATATATCAATTTGAAAACATATCTTTAACATTTGCGAATTATCAGTACTATAGCTCGACCACTCGATGGGAAGCTATCGCGTGGTCAAGTGATTCTCTTCATCGTGCTGATCTGGACATACACGATTCCTTGGGCGTTGATGCCGCTGATGCATGTATGGGGTCGCTTTGTGCCCGAGGGTTTCCTCACGAGCTGCACCTTCGACTATCTGACAGATACGCCAGAGATACGTTACTTCGTGGCCACGATTTTCACCTTCTCCTATTGCATACCGATGTTGCTCATTATATATTATTATAGCCAAATTGTCAGCCACGTGGTAAATCACGAGAAAGCTCTTCGCGAGCAGGCAAAGAAGATGAACGTCGAGAGTTTGCGCAGCAACGCGAACACAAACGCTCAGAGCGCGGAGATACGTATAGCTAAGGTATCGTATCGTTATCTCTTTCTCTCTTTGTACGAATTCGTTAACTTTCACGTTTCTCAGTCTCGTATTCGGTTTAATTTCTGCAGGCTGCGATCACGATCTGTTTTCTCTTCGTTCTCTCGTGGACTCCGTACGGCATTCTCGCGATGATCGGTGCTTTCGGAAACAAAGCGCTGTTGACTCCCGGCGTTACGATGATACCGGCCTGCGCGTGTAAGTTCGTGGCCTGCTTGGACCCGTACGTCTACGCTATAAGCCATCCAAGATACAGGTGACACATGGAAGAATTCTCTAAGTATTGTACTTCGAGGATCTTCCCTGACTGTTACAGTACATTGCTCTGTAACAGATTGGAGCTACAGAAACGATTACCGTGGTTGGAGCTGCAGGAGAAGCCACCCGCGGATGCGCAAAGCACCACGACTGAGACGGTAAACGCACCGTCGGCTTAAGCCTTATCCGACTTCGTAATTGAGATTTTAACTGTAACAGAGGTCAGTTGCAATGGTAGTTACGTCAAGCTCATGTTCCTCATGAGGAATAGCACGTATTGATCTCGCACTGTATATGAAATAAACAAGTAATTACACAAATTCTGTTGTTAACACAGGTGACACAAGACGATAAAACGTGATGTTCACGATAGTTGTTGCTAACCAATTCAATCCACTCGGATTTTTTCGAGGTTGCATGCACACGTTTGCTACTATAAAATTTCCTGTTATAATTAGAAAACAGCGTGCCGGTTATGTACAACGCGAAGCAATATAATAAATCAAACCCCTGGCATACATACAGTGCGGATATGACACGCCTTATTCAATATTCATATCGCTCGGTTGAGCGCGGCGAATGCTATGTTAGTCACAAGAATTGCAGGAATCGGTGCGGGAAATTAGAACACAGCCGTGTAAGGAACAATAACTAGCAAGTTACAACTTTATTCTCGTTTTTTTTCTTTTACACTCTACCAGCCCTTAAAGCTACGGGGGGAATAGGCCAATAGAAGACCAACAAAAATAAGACTCGCACCGATCGATCGATGCGAAATCAGACTAGCTAGCGCTTAAAGTGTTATGACGTTTGTTTGTTTTTTTTTTTTTTACGATTCATCCATTACATTTGCTGCATTATATGACCAGCGCGGGAAGTGGAAGTCGAAGTAAAAAATAAATTCTGTAAGATCTATATCGTTCCGAAGGGACTCTTCAGGGGTCTTTTGAAAACGGCCAGAATCACCCGTTTTTTCGTAAGCAAACGTCAATTGAAGTTTCTCGAGTAAGCGTGACAACTCGCGAGCGTCGTTAACTTAATTAACACGAAGACAACGTTTTTTTTCCTCTCTCTTTTCATACACATTTGTAGCGACTCTGTGGAAGAAATTTCTTTCTATCTATTTGTCTCTTTCTCTATCTCTCTCTCTCTCTCTCTCTCTGAAGCATCCGCGAATGAATTTCGCTTCGTAACGACTTCGTTCATCTTCATAACGACGTGTCGTTCTTTGTACTATGTCGCTGCTAAACAGTATCGCTGTTGCTCTAATTGCAGTTATATGATAATAAACGATAGATCATTCTCTCTTACACAGTCTAGGAACTTCCTACATTCGACTACATTAGCTCGCAGAAGACATCGATTTCGTTTACTTAGAGACCCTAAGCGGCATAAGGTATCCGACTCTGAATAACAGGTACGCAAACGACGCGGGCTACGCCCGTGAATGGGAAAGGATGCGCTAACTGGAGATTACTCTCTCAGCGCGATCGTGCGTCTCGCGATCGGATTAATTAACGACTGATGCGATTTATCACGCTGGTCTCGGAGGCTTTTCGCTCCTCGTGGTCCTCCTCCTCGTTAGGACGATCCGATTTACTGTGATTTACTGAGGATACCTGTTCTCGAGGTGAGACTCCTTCTCTGCCGTAAAAATATGCGATTTAAATTTACATTTGATAAGTCACCCGTTTTCCTCGATTAAAGCAGTATCGAACAATCGCACACCCTTTCCGGTTCACCCGCGCGACAGCCCCCGCTCGTCGTTCAAACTACGGAACGAACGCGGCAACAATTCGGAAAACGATTATCCTTCGAATGTGAGCCGTGTGAACGCGCGCATACGCAGCGGAAGCAAGTTTACGAATGTGGTAGAAAATACTTGAGACTCGATTTATAGAACATCGGCGTAACAACAGGCCGCGCCGTAGGCTTTTGCCGCCCATGATGTGTGCGATACGATTGTACATTAGGTCTGTTCGTTTTCGAGCAACTTCTATTGCAATAAGTTCGAGCGAAAGAAAGTATATTTGTTTCGCTCTAACTTTATAGCACTAATGCAGAAATTCTTCGAAAACAAACATCCTTATTATTTACTTTTTCCTCTACGACTACTATAACAATAACTAGAAATGCCATGTTGCAGATATGTTACTTCACCGATGAACATCTATAAGACTAGAGTCGGGGCGCATGGCTCGGACTCATCGCGGAGAAAGCCCCGGGGCGCGGGATACGCGCAGCTCTAACGGAGGTAAAATCACGGTCGATCGTGAAAACTTCTTCGCCGTGAAGATGATAACTCGCGGGTGCGATTCGAAGCTTCTCGGATTTGCGACATCGCTGATCAAACTGCGATGCAATTTACGAGTACACTCGCTCTCTCTTCTCTTCTCTCTCCCTCTCTATTTATTTTTCTCCTTTTCCCTTTCGTTCTACCCTCTCGTAGAAAGCACGATCGTTAGCATTTTCCGGATGAAACACATCGACGACGTGTGCCACCGCCGTCGTCATTTCAAACAGCACGAGCGGATCAAGTGCCACTTCTTTTGATTCGTTACATTGGCATGCGTATGCGGTATCATTTGTCGTTGAATATCGCAGGTATCCACCTCTGAGATCGACGGTCGTGCATTTAAGCGTATGAGAATCTCGACGCGGTGAACGTTTTGACGCATTCAATGCTGCGATTATACGTGCGACGAGAGCAAGTGAGCGTGACCGGACAACCTCGACTCGCGGGAGTCGAAGTTCGCGAGACCGTCGATATCCACGAGAACTTGGTTCTCGGCTTGTTTTGGGAATCCTGTCTCAGAAGTGTTCAATTTAAACGCTCGCTTTATAATACGCATATCATCTACGATGATTCGTGATAACTCGAATAGAAAAAAAAGATCTAATCCTCGATGTTTTCGATATTGATGACTGTTGATCAAACTTCGCAATTGCTACTCGATTCGTTTCTTTCTTCTCTTGATATCTAAGAGTCGATTGCACCGCGCATCGTGGTTAATTAATTTATTCTTTTCCTCTTCCGTCCGCGGTCGCGATCGGGGAAAGTACATCGGGATTGTTTCCCAGAGAACGGAGAGGACATAGGCACGGGACGACGAAGTTAATTAATCAGGACTCCATCGGCGTACCACCACGGTTAATTGACCGAGACTGTCGATGCAACCGACACTGAAGGTAACGGAATTATCAGGCACAGACGATGATGAGCTATTACACGGCTCCGCAAGCGCGCATCCACCGATCGATCGTTGGCTGATCGATCGACGACGACGTGCGACTGTGCTCGTAACAGAGCGCGTAATAGCAAAGGAGAGTGCTGTTGGCTGTTGCTGCTGAAGCGGAGGAAGAGAAACACTACGACGAGAAACGATACTGCTGCGGCAAGCAATGCGCGTCCGAACTCTTGTAAGTCGTGCAGCCGTGCGCGCTTGAAGACTTGCCGCCAGTTTTCCTCCTTTCGTCCGACGTGGACTTCTTTGTTTTGTACGAACGTAATATTAATGTGGCTTGACTGTCTTTAGGCTCCTCTTGCATGCGCACCTTTGGCCGTCGCGGCTGTTCCTCCGGCGGCTCCTTATTCTGTTTCTCCACCACCACTTCGTCGCGCGCGTGTTTCTCTTCTGTAGAAGATTGATTAATCGTGAGCTCATCAAATATGTTAGGTGTCTAAGTAATGTAAGTTTTAAAGTGAAGTTTTCAACTGTAATTTAAAGTAATTTGTGACTTTGTGAATTACTTAATTAGAAAGTAAACTTAATATCAGTTAACTTTTGATATCATTACTTTATATTAGTAAGAAATGCTAACTAAAATTATAATTATTTTTGGTCTCAACCATATTTTTTATTTGTTTTAACACTGAAATAGTAGTAGCAATATAATAGTAGTAGCATATAAGGTTATTATCAGTAACATAGTAGAAGGTTATTATCACTAACATTATAGTAGAATTTAATAATAGAAAATGGTTTTCTTGACCACAATTTATAATAATTATTTTTCTATGTAATTATATTTACAAATATCGGATTTTTTGTCTATGTAAAAATAATACGTTATCGTAGCATCTATGCTCTTTCTCTCTCAGTTAGGAGATGCTAACACTAACCTTCAGCAACGTCACCAAACAGGATCTTTGATGTCTTCGCGACACCCTCGTCGCTCGTGTTCTCTCTCTCGGTGTTATTGTTGGTGCGGAATATCGATTCGAGGACTTGTCGCGAGAGCAACGGCGATACCGGGCGCTTCCGCACGCGCGTGCCGTTTGCGTTGACGAAGGCGTCGCATATGCTTGTCTCGTTGTCGCATACGCTCGTCGTAGACATGCTGTCCGTGATGAGCTTCTCGGTGTCCGAATCGCCGGTGTTGCTATAGTAATTATTGCCGCTGTCGGACTTCTTCAGGATCGATTTCGATACTCGGTAGCGATCCATGAACGGCGCGCCCTCGCTGTCTATCGAGTCCGCCGATAGCGAAAGCTTGCTGTCGCCGCTTGTTCCTGAAATTAATTTCGTTACGACGTGCTTTACGACACGATACATTCGTGTAACGATATTACGAGTATCCAGGGCGCACTTTGCCAGCTTCCTTTGATTTTCTCGATCGACCAAATCGCGTGAAGCGACGCGCGAGGAAGACATTAATCTCAGCGAGATTGCGTTTTCATCATTTTACCCTCTCTGCTTCTCGTTCTCAACGAGCGAGTGAAGTAGTGTGTTTACTTACGTAGAGAGAGAGAGAACCCGTCGCCGCCGCGAATCGAATCCAATTAGAGATCGAGGCCGAATATTTACCCGCGTGATGCTTGGGCCTGCCGATGGATCCGAACAAGTGATGATTGATGATGCGCGTGGCGGATGCCAGGCTATTCGTCGGCGCGTACGCGGAAGGTCTGCCGCCGCGCAGTCCTCCGTAATGGTTGTTATTGTCCTCCGTGGTGTCATCTTTCAGAATACCGCGCACCAATACTGCGCTGTCCTGGTCGCTGACGTATTGCGTCCGTAGCTTTGCGCTCTGTAATCAGTTATACACGATAATTACACTCGGTTCTCAGATGACAGATCTCCGGGAGGGAGAACGCGCGACGAGGAGAGACGAAAACAAGCTCACCAGTTCGTATCTCTGGCGCTTTACCTCGCCGCGCACGTCGAAAGCCTAAATCGGATCAGTATTTATAACATTGACGAAAATATCAATCGATCGTCACCACAAATTTTATCACAAATTATATGATGACAATAGGAGGATGAAAGATTTTACAATTGATTTGCGATTTAGCTTTTGTAAAGGTCATAGTTAAAGGTTATATAGCGTATAAGCTCGTATATAGAAAGGGTTGTGCCACGCTTTTCTTCACTATCACAATTTAATTAGAAAGCCGTACGTACTGAGAGAAAAAATGGTTGATGCAACTAAAATTATAATTATTTCCAGTCTCAATCATATTTTTTGCAGTAAAATGGCAGTATAATAGCATGCATATAAAATTATTATCACTAACATTGTAATACAATTTAATAAAATAAAAATAGTTTCTTGGCCATAATTTATAGTAATTATTTCTCTAAGCGATCAAGTTACAAATACCAAACGTTTTTTCTCGCGATCGCAAACACGATGTTGGTCGTGGCGAGTGATTAATCGAGATTAAAGTTGCAGAATTACTCGCGAGTGCTATACTTATTTGCAGAGAACTTTTGACGTCCTTTCTCTATATACTTATTAAAACTTTTTACATGAAAACCGAGTGTACGGCCGATTCATTCATTCGTTCATTCGCTCGATTCTGTTATATTTGCACGACGTGAACTCGTTAGTAAATAGTCAGCCTTGATCGTATTTATACACACAAGCTCTGTTTGCAAATCGCGGTACGGTTTCAAGGTACAAGTTCAAGGTGGACGCGTGTCGTGGCAGGTGCAGTTGCTCGCGGGAGACACAGTGCGTAGGGTTAACAACAGGTTGGTGCTGTAAGGTCGCGCCTGTAAAATACAGGCGCACAGAAGCGTCCTACAGTATCTCTTAGCTCTCGTGGATTTCTTTGCGAAGCTATAAGGGACGTTTCGATTACTGTATATGAGTATATATATATATGCAATGCGCGATGGAATTTATGGAATGCGAATTCTTGGTCTATGCAAGACGACGTGTCCGGTAAAAATATGAAAGATAACAGTGTTACACTTATCGGATTCGATGCGCCTATTTCACCGTGTTCTTTTGTCGAAGGTGTTATCAAATTGGACTTTTCTTTGTTGTCGAAACTTCCGATTTTTTACACTTAGTACATCTACATGAAGTTCCATGTTCTCCATTAAATTCGAGAAAGAAGCTTTTGTGATTCATTCGTGCTTCGGCAGCTTGCGCGAAGCGACAGCACTCTGCACTGTAAGTTCCAGATCAAACGCTCATTAGAAAGAGAAAAGACAAAATCGCTCGCCGATTCGAGAAGACGATACCGTTTCTCTCTGCACCTTCTACCGGACAAGCCGCTCTATGCACGCCATTGGCCCTGAGAGAGGCGGTTAGTTCCGTGACGCAAGGTGAACGATATACCCGCTATCAGTCGTCGGCCAAGCGCGACACGCCGTCACGCTGCGAACGAGCTTACTTCCGTGTCCGAGCGCCAACGTGCGATATCGCGCGTTTCCCCACTGACGAGCACCGGAGCGTTCAGAAAAGTACGATAGCCTGGTGGCGATCGCTCAACTGCGCTCCGCTTGTGGTCTCGACGGTTTTTGCGGCTGAAAAAAGCAGCGAGGTGCGGCGCATGAGTGGCGTGCGGTTGTGCGCGATGATGTAACATGACTCGCCATCCTCGCCTCCTCGAGGGTAGCACGATATCGGGATCGTGTCACTCCTCGCTCGAGGCGCGTCACGAATTTCGAAGCGTGGGCTTCGGGTCTTTTTTCGCTCGAGAAGGCGCCCCGAGAATTGCACATATTGGCCCTTGAGGTAAAAGTAGTAGCAAAGTCCGGACACGTACCCGATCCTGGACATTCTTATTGCTTTGGTACCTTTAAGACTCTTAGCGCGTGAAACTCTTGGTTGATGATGTCAGAAGCAACGAAATGCATGCCCAGAGTTCCTGCAAGAATAGTACGTTTAAAGAAAAAGATGTCTCCAAAAAATAACACCTGCAATCGATACAGCATACTCCTAAAATTCTCCGAATACGGTTATTTATTGATTGTGTGAGCAAAAGGAGAGTGTTCGGAGTATTTTCGAGGCGTACTTAATCGATCGCAAATGTCATTTTCTGGATGTGTCTTTTTACCTCGACATACTTTGTAGGAAATTTGGACTTGCATTTCTCCGCTCTTCTGACATCATAAATCAAGATAGCTGCAACGAGTAACCAGAAGACTTAAATATAAATATGTTAAACTTTCAACATAAAATCTATATATATATATATATATATATATATATATATGAAATATACACATATATTCTATGTTAAGAAAGTATAAATATTCGTATTATTTGAAGATCAAACAATATATATAAGAATATCCAGGATTGGATACGTACCCAAGTTCTTGGTACTTTTACCTTATTTTGAATTCTTTTCTATCGATAAAAGTGTCTCTCTAAATATAGTGTATAAGCCTTCTGATTAACTTTCAGTCGTGTTAGAAACATTTTTCCAAGGGAGTTCAGAATAAAGGCCATTAAATCGGAAGTACACGAGCCGCAAAGTTGTGCCACCCCCGAGGGAAGAGTGCGAATCTTGTCGCGTATCTATCGGCGTGCAGAAACTTTAGGAAAAAGCCGGAAGTCTTTCGATGTATTTTCTGTAAGAAAGCAGATTGCTGTCGTGGTTTTACGATTGAGGAAGAAATCTTCTCTCATTCAATTGAAAATCAACAAATAATAAATCAGTAATGTATCCAAGTAGAACAGGTTGCCTATTGGTTAACGTTCTTGAAGTTAACTTTTGGAATATATAAGATAACAAGTCAATAATTCGTCTCCATTAATATGACATTGATTAAATAACAGTTTACAGTTGGTTAATAGCTAGTTTATTTACGCATCTTACAGTTATCATTTGGTATATATTTAATTTGTATCCATGTACCAATTCGATACTTTTATATCTAAATGACACCTTTTTGGATATTAAAAGTTATCTTTCGAGCGGACATTAGATAATCTTTTCAGTAAACAGAAACTTAACTTTTTTGCCGAAAATAAAGTTATCCTGGCCTAATTTTATATAGCAAAATGAAATATTTTAAGATAACGTTGTTCTACTTAGGTACATACGTTTCAGACAAACCAGGCACCTGCGTGAGATTAAGCTAGGTTAAGGTTCATCTGCCGTTCAAGACAACATCTCTTTTATCGTTACGGCCAATATTTCACCTGGCGTTTCTGCACTGTGCCGTTATGCGAAAGTATTCGGGATGTAATAGCCAGTGTCGACTGAGATGATTATGAGAGTGGAGTAAGAATGTGACAGCGCGAGATCTCGCTCGATGAGAGAACGATAACGGCCATTGCCGAATCACAGATCAATAACCAATGCGACCATATCGATATGATCGATATGAGTATTGATCTCGTCTCGTCGTGACTACGCCGCGAATCGAAATCACGAGGATCGATATATTGGGCGGCAGACCGCCATTGTGTTTTGCCGCGGTTTCCCCTGGCCGGCCACGATCTCGTTCTATTCGGCTGTACTCCTGCCTCTTTTCTCATTTCATTCGCTGGTAATGTATTAATATCAGTAATAATAATACCGAGCACAAAGTGACGCACGTGTTTATCGATAATTCGACGGGTAACTCACCTGTTGGATCCTTATTTTCCTATGCTTAGGTATGGCGTCGTTCAGGGTGACTTTGCTGACCTCGTTAGAAGGCCGGATTTCTTTCAGGGATTCGATGCTGGGCGATACGTCGGTGGTGACGCTGCGGCCGACTTCGCCGGAGATGGACTTTTTCACTCGCGCAGTCCTGCACTTCTCCGTCGCCTCCAATGGATTCACGTAAAGATTGCTGTCCGCTTCCTCGGTCAGATCGCCCTGCGGAAGCGAAGGAATCGTCCCGCGACCGAGCATTCAAACTTCGCGACGCAACTCCGTCGCGAAAAGTCACGAACGTCCCGGTGCGTACACGTGAGTAGGTTATGTCGCGATTTATCGCGATATAGCTGTAATAGTAGCTGTAATGATCTCTCAATGGTAGCGAAATATTAATCGCAGTGTGCACAGTTAGTTAATCAAGTGCAGTCATACTTTTCCACAATAAGACTCGTAACGCATCTCGCATGGCAACAAGAAAATTTTATTTTTTAATAATTCTTAAAAAATATATCTTTTCTTATTGTGATGCATCGCAAAACTGCTCAAGGAAAAGTGTGGCTGCACTTAGGATCGATTTTTCCTGCACTCTTGCTAGTAAAATCATACATCTGCCTTTGTTATTCTTTCGAATTAAACAGACCTTAATTTTGTCTGATTTGAAGGAAAAACGAAGACAGACAGATTGAATTGTTAGTTAACGTACCAAGAGGTTCGGAAAATTAGCTATTAATCAATCGACTGTATATATGTGTGTGTATGTGAAGGGGAGAGGACATAAATGTGTCGAATAGTGTGGAATATCTCATCTTGATCATATTCAAATGTTAATGATTTTTGGACGAATTTAGGGTGAATCTTCGCACCATGAGAACGCGCCACATAAATTGAATGAGAGGCCATCGTTCTAGAAAAGTCAAATTTGTTTTAATTTTCATCCTTAGATACACCATACTGCGCGTATACACAATCGTCTTACAAGAATTACAATCGATACGAAATTAATCGGTGACATGTTCGCTTGAGCGTACATTATTCGCTCGACGTTATCGAGAAACGGAACATTGTCGTGCGCGAAACACATAATAAGTTAATAAGTAGTATTTTCTTGCAAGATGTTGCTACAATATCTCCGTCTGAAAGAGTATCTTGGAAATTAATTGATCGTAACTTAAATTACACGGAAAATCGAGAATAATATTGTATCATCTTCTAGCGATTGCAATGACACAATGACGGAGGTGTGATGTAGATGCGCGTTGTCTGAATCGTATTGAAACTAAGCTCCGATATCTTCCTGATATAATATCAATGATCACCTATCGCGCTGCGTAATGAGATATAACAAGAAAGATCTCTCGCGAGATTCTCGTTAGGAAGAAGCCGTGATTCTGAATTCGCCGGAACATCGGTCATTAACGTATGACTTGTTAAAGGTATGGGGCAGCTTACATCACCAGCGCTTCCTAATTTCTCTTTGTACGCCGTAACGTGTGTGGAAAAGATCGTAACATTAAATAGCCACAAATTTAAGGGGGAAAAGGCCCCATACAAAAAGCCGTACAAACAGCGATCGAGATATCGCGTCGAATCTAGTCGAGTCCGCGGAAGATCGCGGAAGGATGTTGTTATCCCTAAGTTTCCCTCATCGCAGTGAAAAGCTCACGAATGTCCGTGTAGTGTGCCGCGTCGCGGCGGTTGGGAAACTCTGCGTCGCATCCGGTGTGAAGGTATTATTTCTGTACCTTGCCGGCTTCGCTCTCTCTCTCTCCGTGTCGTCTCGCATCAGTCGCGATTCGACTTTCGATCACGTTGCGTGGTGTGTGTCACGCAAATCCCCGTGCATTCGGTTAGTTTTTGTACTTCGCGTGTTATCTGTATTATCCGTGCGATGTCGGTTCGCGTACCTGCGAATGGGACGGATGCGTCTGACAGCTCGCGTACGTGTCCGAACTGTCGACGCTTCCCTGCTCGTTGTACGCCGCCTTCGTGTAGCTGCCCTGCTCGTTGTAGGTCCTCGCGTAGCTCAGTGTCTCCGGCGGCTGAATCGGCGACGTCCTCGACTCCACCAACGATAAACCTAATTGTTCCGCGCCACTACCTCCGCCACCAACGCCTCCCGCTCCTCCTGTTCCTCCACCTGCCGCTCCACCACCTGCGCTGCCTCCGCCACCGCTGCCACCGCCGCTACCACCGCCACCGCCGCCGCCGCCAATTGCGTTGAACCTGAGGGACCTCATTTCCTGACATACTGGATTACGAAAGTCGCTGGTGGCCAGTGGCATTATGTTCTCCGCGTCCCTGAAGTCTTTGTATTCCTAAAAACACGAGGCGGATGAAAAGTCTCGATTATGCGGAGGGCGAGGATGCTGGAAGCGGCGTGTGTTTTAGACTAAATCCTACGGTTACGCTTCAGGGTGGCGCGTTCTCCCCGGTACCGACCTCATTCTCGAAAGCAGCATTTTCTCGTTAGGCTGATTCACCGGAAAAACCTGAGATCATCTTAGAATTAGATTAGCCGTGTTAATATCATCTTCAGACACAGAGATGTCTGAGAAACATTGGAAAGATGAGAACCAAATGAATACTCTGATAATTTTCGATCTCCCAGGCCCTGGTGTCGTCAGATATCAATTGAATGTTTTTCTTTATTCACGTTACAGGTGAAATCGAAACGCGCCAGGCAGCAACGAACCACCGACTCGGAGATTTCATCAAGGAGAGTCAGTCGGTCCCAGCGGAGAGCGCGCTCATCCCGCAGACAACGCGTGGTACTGGTTTTTCGCGAAGCGGCAGTCTGACAACAAGAAATAAAGAAGCCACATAGAAGGATCGTGCACTCTACACAGGTGAGGAGAAGAAAAGATTAGTCTTTAGCGTGTGAGAGGACGATACTACCATACTCGCCTGGTGGAACGCGCGCCGGGTCTGCGATGCGTCGTCTATATCTACTTAAGAGAGTAACGATCTCGCCGTCTCTCATTACAGTCGTTCCCGAAGCGCTTTTCCGAGATGCCAGAGCCGGACCTACCAGATGCAGGAGGTGGACACGCGACCTCTAAAAATCGCTCTTGGATCCTTTAAGTCTACTACTGTGCGCTGGCCGCATATTTCCGTGCTCTACCGTTCGGTCTAAGGCATGCTTCGAGTTGTTGGTGAGTGATAGGATGTAAGTTACGCGAGACTTATCGTACTACTCGTTCCATCATACACAATATGCAATATGTGCCGTCCGATAGGTGTGTATTCATGTGTCGCGTATGTATACGTGTTCGTGCGCGCGCGCGCGCGTGCGTGTGCGTGAATAATCAGGAAAGGAATTACCTTGAAACCCTCGATCTTGCCTTTCGTCCTTCGTACGCGCTATCGTATGATAAAGACTGTTATACACGATAAGGAATCGCGCCTTGCTTTCCGCATTCGATCTTTCGCGAGTGAAAGAAAAAGAAAATATAACGAATTTGATAACCAGAGAGCTTTAAATAGCGAAGTTACATTGGAAATCGGAACCTCGTGAACATACATTGATACGCATTTAATATTTAATTTGACGTCGGAGAAAATTGAATTTCAGATTCGCTCGATTGAAAAATCCGTGAAAATCTACAGAGCGTCGTATCAACGAATGTTGGTATGAAAAGCTCGCCCTATCTACCGATTAATAATTAATTCGATCGCGTGAGATAACGAAGCGGATGAAGATTGAGGCGGGTGCATGTACACTTTGCACGACTCACGCCGGCGATTTAATGAAACTCAAAGAGAACGGTAAGAGTGTATATCTTTATACGTACACACGTGATCTCTATTAAGACGCTATGTACGAGTGCGATTACGCCTTACGCTCTCGTGTAGGAAAGTGGCTCCGAGTAATTTCCTGCCGTGTATAAATTACCAGGAGTGCTAATATCAAACCTTTCCAATTGTATATTCGAGCGTCCGGATGTACAGTGGACTCGCCACGATACATTTGAAATATCGAGCGTAATCTCGTATTTCTGCCGGAACAATTAGCGTTAATGAAAATTAACAACATCCAGTATCCGCTCTCCGCGCGTTTGGCAATTATTCATGTGAAAATTTCCACGGAGAGAGGACGAGTGATTCCATTTTGAAGAGCCGTGTTGACGTGACAAATACGAAATCGAGGACAAATAAAAGATAATTATATAGAATACGAAAACGACGATAATAATATGTAGAAAACGACGCGGGTATTTCATTTTATTACGACTACTCAGCGTCGTTTATACACGTCGTGTTCGTGGCGTGCGCCAAATAGCCGAAAATTGGATCGGCTATCTCTCTCCTCACCGACACGTGGAATTGACCGGATAACTCGGTAATAGACCGCGACGAGCGTTGTTTTTCACACGTTTTCTCGCTCTTAGCAAAGGAGGCGTGAGGGCGTCCCTAATCACCAGGGATAAGAGAAACGATTCTGGAGTGGCTCGTTCCGGCGGCCTCCTCGCGTGCCGGCAACCCGTTAACTTTCCACCCGGAGGCAGGAAATTATCCTCGCGCCGTATATACACGCGGTATACGTGCATGTATGTGTGCATGTATGACTGTTGCGTGTGTACGTGCGTGTGTGTGTATATATATATATATATATATATATATATATATATGTGTGTGTGTGTGTGTGTGTCTGTGTGTGTGTGTGTGCGCGCGCGTGGTATCGATTGTAAGGTGTACAAGTATACTTGGCTCTCTACTGGCTGTGGTATCAGGGGGTGGTACGGGGTGGTGGTGCCGAAGGCATCGCGCGTATCGGCGTATCGTGGCGTGACCGCCCAACACATAAGCGATAACGCGGTGCCTTGACCTACAAAATGTCGTGTCAGCACGCAAATCGCAAGTTTGACCGGGGACGTGGGGCTGAGGGAGCTGAGGGTGGCAGGTGAGAGCAGGTCGTAAGAGTGGGTGGGTAGGTAGGTAGGTAGGTAGGTAAGTAGGTAGGTCGGGCAGGCAGGCGAGGTTGTAGGGTAGACGAGCTACGGTTGCGTCTAAAGCTTTTTGAATGAACGAGATGTCGTGTCAATGAAAAAGTTGTGCTCCGTCAAGAAGAGAGAGGTGGCAGGGGAGGCAGTGCATACACCCAGTGGACTATGTAAAGAGTGTGCATATCGGTGGGCAATATATATATATAGACTTGGATTGCGCAGAAAACGACGTACATCCTCGTGTACGAGAAGCGTAGCACAAAACAGACAAACAACAAGAGAGTAATAGGTAAACCGACACGGCCGCGAAGACCAGGCGAAAATAAGTAATAAGTGAGCCCATGTGAGCCCGGTCACACCGGAGGGTGGGAGGACGAGATACGTAGAACGAGAATACACATGTAATACGTATGCGTTACATATATGCATATAGTTCCGCTGAAAGAGAGCAAGCTTGGTTTAAACTTTCGTTCTCTTGCTTGTTTTTTTTCGCGGCCGTTCGCGAAACGCGAACGGCCGGTTTTCGCACGGTCTTTATCGTCGATCGTTAAATTTCCGGAATTCTCAAACTCGAAATTTCGGACTCGCTCGACAGCCCATTGGTGTATGTAGTGCCGCCTGAGGAAGAACGTTAGTGATCGTAAATACCTTCGTGGTACAAAAGCAACACTCGAATTCGCTAGGTATTTCATCAATTTTCTCGAATTTTCTGCTGTCTTTTTTCTCTTCATCCTACAAAGGTCACACACACAATTTCCTGTTTTACTTTTCGTGAGTAAACACACGGACCTCGTTTCGGAAGCGATCGAAGCGTCACGCGACTTTTCTCTTTCTCCTGCTTTTCTTTCCGTTTTTTTTTTTTGTTTGTTTCTTCTAACGTATCCTCTTTGCGCCATTCTCTGTTTCTTGTTTGCCTCTGCTCGATCGGGACCACCGTCCATTGTTGTGAAAACGGTTCGATCGCTTCGCGAGCGAGCACAAACATCAAAATTAAATGCGAGCGTAAAAACGAGGCAACGTATGATCGCGTGGAGCCAGAGAGATAGGATCCTCGTATCACGCGGCAGAGAACAAGATTTGCAACGGCGGTGTCGACGATCACAAAACGGGAGATCGAGTGTACGTTTCCGTGTGTGTCAGTGTGTGTGTGTGTGTGTGTGTGTGTGTGTGTGTGTGTGTGTGTGTGTGTGT